ATGCTTTGTAGTACTTCAATGTTTTTGAATTTATTGAGGCTTTTTTTTGTGTGTCCTAACATATGGTCTATTCTGGAGAATGATCCATGTGCACTGAAGAAGAGTGTGTATTGTGGTTTTGTTGGATGGAGTTCTGTGTATATGTCTATGAGGTGAAGTTGTTTGATTGTGTTGTTGAATTCTTCTGTATCTTTGTTGAAATTGTTTTTAGTAGTTCTGTCCCTCCTTGAAAGTGGTATGTTAAAGTCTGCTACTACTATTGTAGTCTATTTTTCCTTTCAATTAATATTTGCTTTATGTATTTTGGGGCACTTTCATTGGGTGCATAGATATTATGGTAATGTCTTCTTGGTCAATTGATCCTTTTAGCATCATATAATATCCTCCTTTGTCCCTATGCTGTTTTTTCACCTTGAAGTCTCTTTTATCAGAAATTAATATTGCCACTCCTGCTTTTTTTTTGGTTGCCCTTAGCTTGGTATATATTTTTTCACTCCTTAATTTTTAATTTGTTTTATCTTTGTGTCTAAGGTGGGTCTCTTGAAGGCAACCTATTGATGGGTCTTCTTTTCTTATCCAATCTGTCATTTTCTTTCTTTTGACTGGTACATTTAGTCATTCCCACTGAGTGTAATTAGTGGTAACTTTCATGCTATTGTGTTTTTTTGTTGTGTTGTTGGTGCTTCCTTTTTTCCAAATATTCTTCTATGCTGAGCTCATTTTGTTATCAAGTGTTTGTTATATTTTCTTCATTATTGTTGGTTTTATGCTTACTAAGCCCATATGTTTTTCTTCTTTCTGAGTTTGCTTAGGAGGATTGTTAATTTTCTTTGTGGTTATCTTGAAGTAAATTCTTATCTCCCTTAGTTTGGAACAGTCAGTTCTATAAAGATATTATCCTGTCTTCCTCTCCATTTGGAAGTTTTGTAGTTAAAACATTTATTCCCTCTACTTGCTATGTTGCTGGTGTCATCTGCAGATTGACTCCCTTATTTCTCTATGTACATTATTTTATAAGCTTATTTTGAACATCTATTTCTGGTTTGGTTTCTAAGTGATGATGGCCAAGTGTCTTGATTTTAATTTGTTTTTCTCTGTTGTGGGTTCTAACTATTGGAAGGACTCCCTTTAGCATTTCTTGTAGGGTTGGTCTGGTTTTCATAAATTCCCTTAATTTCTGTTTGCCTGAGAATGTCTTGATTATATCCTCATATTTGAGGCAATTTGGCTGGATATAGACTTCTCGGTTGGAAGTTATTTTCCTTCAAGGTTTATATATGCCATCTCATTGCCTTCTTGCCCGCATAGTTTCTGCTGAGAAATTAGAAATTAGTCTTATTGGTTGTCCATTGTAGGTGACATTCATTTTTCCTGAGCTGCCCCCCTGATTCTTTCTTTGTCTTTGGTTTTGGAGAGTTTGATTATGATATATATCGGTGACTTTCTCTTGGTATCTATTGTGTATGGACTTCATTGAGACTCTTGGGCAAATATCTTTTCTTCCTTCATGATATGGGGGAAATTATCTGTTAGAAAGTCTTCCACGATTTTCTCAGTAGCTTTTTTTTGCCTCCTCTTGTTCTGGTATCCCAAGCAAGCATATGCTATTTCTTTTCATGTCATCCCATATAACTCCTAGGTTTTCTTCATTTCTCTTAAATCTTTGCTCTGATTTTTCTTCATACAGGCTGGCATTAAGGGATTTGTCTTCTAGTTGGAAAATGCAATCTTCAACCAGGTCTAGTCTACTCTTGTCCTTCCACTGTGTTGTCCATCTCTGTAATTTTAGTGTTCATCTTCTGGATTTCTAATTGCTGTTTCTGTATGAGTGTTCATCTTCTGGATTTCTAATTGCTGTTTCTGTATGAGTTCTAATTATGTTAATATCTTGTTATTTTGTTCTGGAATTATTTTCCTGAATTCTTCCAGGGTACTATCTGTCTTCTCATTGTTACTGTTTATGGTTTCCTTGAGTTCTTGGAGAGTCCTATATATATACCTTCCGAATTCCACCTCAGATAGTTCTATTGCTTGTTCTTCTTCCATGATAGATAATTCTTTAGCCTGGGCTTTCATTTCTATTGTCTTGTCCTGTTTTTTGTTTGTTTGTTTTTGTTTTTGAGGTTGTATTTGGTTTTCCAGACATTTTGAAGTTGTTGTCTTTGTTAGTTATGTATTAATTTGTTTCACCCTGATTTTATGACTCGATGGCAACAAAAACATGTGTAAAAGTGTGGAGCAAGTGTACTTTTTTGGTTATTAACTCAGCCATACTGAGTTGCTCTCCAGCTGTCTCTCTGTTGGTGGAATCACTGTCAGGGATGTGGGTGCAAGTCTCTGTTCGTCATGAAAAGGATTTGAAGTTGGGATGAACAGGTGTTGTCCACCATCTGTCATTGATTCTGTGCCACAGTAGCTATTGGTGTTACCTGTCTACTGTGTTAGGTGTTCAGTGTAATTGCTCCTCTTGCCTGGTGGAAGTTCAATGTGTAGCAGGGGAGAAAAGGAAGAAAGAAAAGGGGGGGAAAATAGGCACCAGAAGTAAGCCCCCAGACAGAACAGTAGAAGTAGTTTTCCATGTTTGGGGTGAGATCGTTTAATCAGCAATGCAGGCACAGGCAGGGTAATTTGTGTCTTTCTGAGATGTCTACTAATGATGACATCCTATTGTCAATCAAAGACCCATGATTCAAAATTGACAGAGACTCCAGTGGGTAGAGGGCCACAACTTTCCACTTGGATCAAGAAGCCACAAAAACTCAGTACCCCAGTCCACTCTGTGCTAAAAGGGATTATGGAAGAGTTGAATCCCAGTCCACTGCCGTGCACTCACACCAGGGCTCCACCTACTTGGAGAGAGTTTCTCCCTTTCCCCATTCCTTCCTGGACCCTGTGGCTGCCCAAGCCAGGGGCGAGGGTCTTGATCCATTTCCCAGTAAGATTATCATACTCACTCAGAGTCCAAGGCCACTGCCAAAAACTGCCAGTGCAGGTATTCTGAGTCCCCAGTGCCTCTGTGGGTTCCATGATAGATTTTTTTTTTTCCCTCCTTCCCTCCACCAACCTCTTTTGTACTCCTAATGAGTTCTCTCCAACTCCATCACTGCTGGCCAGGCGGGTTTGTTTATTTTTCCCAATTGTTTAATCTGCTCTTTTTCTCCGCCTTCACTAAATCTAATACTTTTATCTTGTCCTTAGTTGCTCGTAACTCCAATATCATTATTTCTATCTGCTTTACCTAGTTACTCAGGGATTAAGTTGGCAGAGGGATCAAACATATGGGTTACAGGTACAATGCCATCTTCCCAACTCCAACCATGAAGAAGATGATTTTTATACATTTATTCTTAAACAGCCCAAATTTTCAACTATTTATTTGAGCTTCTAAAGTTAAACTCATCTTCACAAAGAGTGTTTGCCTCTCACAAAGTCTTTGAGGCATCCAGCAAGGACCTGAAATGCAGTAGGCACTCAACACTGTTAGCTCCCTTCTTCTTTCCGCTTTGTCGTTAGCTGCCACATTAGTCAGCTCCAACTCATGGCAACTCCATGTACAACAGAACCAAATGCTGTCCAGTCCTGCACCATCTTCATGATCACTGGTACACTTGAGTCCACTGTTGCAGCCATTGTGTATTTACAGTGGCTTCCAACCTAGGAGGCTCATCTTCCAGCAGGTTGGAGGCTCATCTTCCAGCACTATATTGGACAATATTCTGTGGTGATCCATAGGATTTTCAGTGGCTAATTTCTGGCAGTAGATCACCAGGCCTTTTTTTACTACTCTGACTTAGTCTAGAAGCACATCCAAAGCCTGTTCACCATGGGTGACCCTACCGGGATCTTAAATGCTGGTGGCATCGCTTCCAGCATCACTGGACCATTCAAGTCGTTACAGTATGACAAACTGACAGACAGGTGGTGGCTTTCCCCTCTTACAGAGACAGAATTATGAAAAAGAAAATATCCTCATATGAATACTAGATAAACTACCTGCCTACAGAAGTACATGTTTCAGAGAATGGAGACACCTTTTATCTGTAATTATGGTACTGAGTTACATGAAAAAAACCCCTTCTAATTTATTCATTATAATAAACCTGTGTAAAACCAATTTTCTGTTATCAAACTTGCTCAAAAAAATGAGAATTTTTTCTTTTTTTGTGGTAAAATATATATATAACAAAACATTTGCCAGTTCAACAGTTTTTACATGTATAATTCAGTGACTTTGATCATGTTCATTATGTTGTATAACATCACCACTTTAAAATAGGGATATTTTTAACCCAATATTTAAATAGGGTTACCATGCATACCACGTATGAGACTACTAATTTTCAGAAAAATACAAATGCATGTATTATTAAAGCCATGAAGGACCATCCTTTGATGGTCAGCAAATAATTTTGTTTTTCCCAACACTTCTTAGACTCATCATTATGAACATGGCCTGATATTTGTACTTGTGAAGTAAACATGAAACTTTTCCAGATATCTACATACTTCCTGAGTATTGTCTCTTCCCTCTCTATATTTCAAGGAGTTGGGGCAAGGGGAAGGAGGCAGTAATATACCATCACCACCCCCAGGTTGAAAATGAGGAAGAGCTAAGCTCTCATCAAATTAGCAGGGAAGCCAGGAAAACACTGTGGTGGCTGAACACAGGTCAAGGAAAAGAGCTTTAATGACAAGGTAAAAAGAAAAGGAAGGAAACAGTAGCCAGATCTTTTTTTCCCAGTTCTGCCTTATTGACCAAAAGTATCTATTATCTCAGGCCCAACCTACACCTAGCTATGAAATCCAGCTAAGGAAAATTTAAAACAGACTAGGGAAGGGGGAGGAAAGGAAGTGGAGGGGAAAAGGAAGGAAGGGAGGAGATGAGAAAGGAGGAGGGAGGGGAGAAAGAGAGAGAGAAGGGAAGGTGAAAGGAGGATCATTTTGACTCACTATATTTAACTATGCCACCCTTGACTTATAATGAATGTGAAGGTTCTTACCGTGTCTGTAGCTTGCTTTGTAGCTCCTGCAGAATCTCTGTGGACTGTCTGTGATAGTCTAATGCTGCCTCTATAAACACGGCCAACTGGCTGACTTGTTCTACCTGCAGCAGAAGTGGAAAATTACTCCACTGAGGCCACAGCCTATGTAATGCTCATAGAGAGAGACCAGCAACCAAGACCTGGCTTTGCAGGGAAGCCTGAGTTGGCCTCGGTCAGCTCTGGTCCATTTTGTTCCAGTTCATCTCGCAGCTCTGCAGAATCAACCTACAGGTCATGGTATAGAGCTGAATGTGCTGGAAGAACATGTTCACATTTATTTGTGAATAGGAAATTGATTTAATGCAATAAAATACTTGTTTTTCTAATTAGATGATAGTCTCAGGAGATTTTTATGCTATAAAGTTCATGGATCTAAAAACAGAGAAATAAAGCTTTTCCAAATACAAGTGCAGCCAATATTAAGTAAATTAACTGCTTATTTAGTGAAAGTGTCTCAGTGGGCACTTTCTAGCTAAGCCAAGTCAAGAAGCAAAGTAAATTAAGCTGATCTCAGATAAGGAAAGGGTATCAGGGACCAACACATACCCAGGTCAAAGCTTCACCAATGCTCTATATATTTTTATTGCTAAAAGCACAGAATATCTGAAAGGCACAAAGCTGAAAGGAATGAACTTATAAAGACTCTGGCATCTCCCTTTCCCATAAATCAAGACACTCACGAAATTAGCAAGCAATTTATGGGGAATGTAAGAGAAAAAAAAAAAAAAAAGAAGAAGCTATGCCATGTCAGAGTCCCTGGTGCAAACAGTTAATGTGCTCAGCTGCTAACCAGAAAGTTAGAGGTTCAAGTTTACCCAGAGACCCCTCAGAAGAAAGGCCTGGTGATCTACTTCTAAAAATTTAGTCACTGAAAACCCTGTGGAGCACAGTTCTACTTTGACACTCATGAGGTCACCATGAGTCAAAGTTACTAGTTATGTCATATAAAAAGGAAACTAGAAGACCTGAAGATACATAATTTTAAGAAGGGTCTCCAGGAGAACCTGAAAGCTTCCTCCATGTGTCTAGTGGGCTGCCCTAGAAAAGAGGGATTAATTAAACTTATTTCTCAAAACCCCAGGGGCAGGGTCACTGGGGAGAGGTGATGGCTGCCCACTAAAAATTTAATTCATGAATTCCAGAACTGAACAGAGACTCAAGTCAAAATCAACTCTTGCTCTTCCCAGGTTTCCCAAAGCTTATATATCTTTTCCTTATTTTATTTTCTAATCAGTTTTAGGGAAAAAAAATCTTATTCACTCAGAGAGTCTAACCCTGCATAACCAACCATGGGTCTGTTTGCCTTCAAAGATCTAAGCTGTTTTCATTTGTTGTTCCAAACCATTCTTTAGTTGCCTATACTTTCATTTTTCTTACCTATTTATACTACTTTAAACAGTATGTATTTAAGATATACATGGCATTACTAAACTTGTGCCAAACTGGGATGAGCATCTGAACAATGAATTCCAGCTCTGTGGGTGGAAAACCAGGCCAACATGCCTAGCCTTAAATTTCTAAAGATCCAATAAACAAAATAAAGACAGCCTGGCCCCTACAAAATCCTAAGGATTTCTTAAGTTTCACCTCTTTGGCTTTCATGCATACTTTTAAACAAGCCCAGCTCCACGGCCTAATATAATCACAGTAGAATTTGCTACAGAAAGAATTTTTCATCCTTATAATGCTAGAGTTGTGTAAAATCTATGCCAAAATTGGTAAAGTTCTGTCTTTACTAAAGTTAATTTTCCCTATTTTAATGCACACTTTGAAAAATGCTGGATATTTTATAATTTTTAAAGAAACAGTGAAAAATCACTAAATGAATATTCTTTGAAACATATGTGAGGTGGAAGGGTTCACCAGCTATCCTCTCTGATGTGGCTAAAATACAACATTATATAACGTAGAGACTCATTCTCAACCTTACCATTTGATGGCTGACTTTTAGAAGGACATGACTCCTGGAAGTCTCTCAAGGCCTGGGGGATAACAGCAGTACTGCACAGTGCTGCACATAGTAGGTTCTCAACACAAGTCTGGAAGGGGTTTACTAAGCTGTGAGCCTCTCTTGTTGACAGGGAAGACGTGGTGTCCCAGGTGAGTTATCTTCTCTCCATACCAGAATATGCAAGCTTCTAGCTGTCTCTCAGGCCAGGAGCAGCACCACATGCTTCAGACCAGCACAGGTGGGCTCTGCTTCCCAAACCACAATTAAACTTAAATACCTGGGCAGGAAAACTCAGAGTAAAACAATACCTGCAGACCTTTGCAAGAGTCAAAGCCCGTCCAGAAGGAAATATTTTCTCTACCCACCATATCTCTCATTTGGGTAATTCCACCTGTTGAATCAGGGAAGGTCACCTGGAATGAGAAAGAAAGCCATACTCCCATTTCCAGACTGAGACCTGGGCTGCCACTTTGCTGGATGCCATCCTGAGAGCAGTGTGTGACCTCAACTATGGAAAGGGTCACTATACATGCAGAGGAACAGAAGTACCAGAGAACTAGCACCGTTCTCTGAAAGTGAAGTACACTAGCTGTTAGAGAGGGGGTCACACTCAGCTCAGACACTGGAAGTGAGAAACTTATAATGCAAACAGACTGGCCCATGGGCTAGAGGTCAAGGAGGCACAGGCTGACACAGGCAATAGTGGTTGACATGGGTGGGATGTGGACTGTGAAGTTATGGAATGACAAAGCCAGAAGTAGACGGAATAATGGCTCCCTAAAGATGTCCGTGTCCTAATCCCTGGACCCTGTGAATCTGTTACCTTATATGGTAAAGGGAACTTTATAGCCATGATTAAGTTAAGGATCTTGAGATAGGGAGATTGTCCTGGATGACTGAAGTGAGCCCAATGTAATCACATGGGTCCTTATAAGGGTTAAAGTCAGAGAATGAGATGTGACAATAGAAACAGAGGTCAAAGGAAGATATTTGAAGAGGCTACAGTGATGGCTTTGAACATGGAGGAAGGTGCTATGAGACAAGGAATGCAGATGACCTCTAAAACCCAAAACCAAACCCACTGCCATTGAGTCAATTCTGACTCAATGGAGACACTATAGGACAGAGTAAAACTATTCCATTGGTTTTCCAAGGCTGTGAATCTTTACAGAAGCAGAGTGACATATCTTTCTCCCTGGAGCAGCTGATAGGTTTGAACCTCTGATCTTTTGGTTAGTGGCTGAGCACTTAACCATTAAGCCACCAGGGATTCTTCTAGAAGATGGAAAAGGCAAGGAAATGAACTTTTGCCTAGAGTCTCCAGAGAGAACACCAAACCCTTGAACTGTAAACTACAATGTTTGCCTTAATTTGTTATAGCAGCAACAGGAAACTGATACCAAGTTGCTTTAAAACAGTCTCAAACCAAGTGAAATCTAACAAAAGATTAGCCCAGGTCAAGATCTCCTGTTTATGGAGATATAAGTTGTTGATCTGAGACTCACATGCACCAAACTCATAGGGGTAATGGACCATTGTGGCCGGGTCTGGGGACTTCATTGTTGACTCAGCCCCACCCCATGGAACTTCACTCTATTCTCAAGGGGACACCATAGCATAGGTAGCGTTGTTGTTAGGTGCTGTTGAGTAGATTTTCAATTCACAGCAAACTCACATGATAGAGCAGAACTGCCCCACTGGGTTTTCTAAGCTGCAGTCTTTATGGGGAGGAGCTCTGGTGGCATAGTGCCTAAGGCATGAGACTCCTAATGAGAAGGCTAGAGGTTCAAACTCATGAGCCATTTCCCAGAAGGAAGATTGAGTAATCTACTTCCATAGTGATACCGCCTCAGAAACCCAAGGAGGGATCACTATGAGTTGGATCTGACTCGATGGCAGTGCATTTGGTTTGGTTTGGTTAATCTTTATGGGCATAGATCACCAGGTCTTCTCTCCTGCAGAGCCACTGGTGGGTTTGAACCAAGATCTTTAGGTTAGCAGCCAAGCATTTAATCCTTTGCGCCACAGTGACTCCTTATAGCATAGGTGACCCACTTTATCCCCTGTGGCAGATCACTCACACTGCACAACAGCTTGAGCATAACTGTTGATACATTTTACTTCCAGGGGTCTCTTCAAAATAGGGAGAGCTTGGGCAAGCAAGTTTTTTTCAGGCATTATCTGGTGATGCTTTTATCATGCCTTAGCCAAGAGTATATAACATGAACGCAGGAGTAAGTTCCAGCTGTTCCCTGGAGAGTGACATCTGGGCTTTTGAATTTTCATCCCAGACAGAGATGGCAGGTGGCTCCAAGGCACCAAGCACTCCATCTCAAACTATTTCCTTATTCTTTTTCTCTTTGGAGTGAGTACTTATAGATCTTCTCTTCACCCCTTCCTCACTTCTCCTTCTGTGGATGAGACCGGGCAGTGTGCTTTAGTTAGCAGGACGGGTTACTCTGCCTCAAAAACTAGCTGCCCCTGGCCAGACGACAGGTGAGGCCTGCTCCCCAGATTGTGTTTGGTGGGTAAATCAGTTGGGCTCGGCCGGGGCTTGCTTCCATCAGTTGAGGTAGCAAGGAAGAGAAAGTGCTATCTTGACTTCAGGTCCAAACCACACCCTCCAAGACAGTTTACCAGAAGGCCTGTATTTTATAATTATTGAGTGTTCACAATAAAAGAGGTGTCCCTTGATCTCATCTAGCTTTTTGTGTCAATTCCTCAAATGGTCTGAACCCGAAGGAGATAATGGCTATGACTGATACCCCCAAAACCTGTAACTCACTATAAAAGAAGCATAATAATAGGGTGGTGCAAGCAGGTAAGTACTCAGCTGCTAACCAAAAGGTTGGAAGTGTGAGTCTTTCAGAGATGCCTTAGAAGAAAGGCCTGGAGATCTACTTCTGAAAGATCAGCCACTGAAAACTCTGTGGAGCACAGTTCCAGTCTGACACACATGGGGTCGCCACGAGTTGGGAGTGACTTGATGGCAACAAGTTGGTTTTTCTGGTTTGTTTTTGTTTTTAATATAAGCATCTCCCACTTGTGTTTGGAAGAAATGTCAGGGCCTCTGCCACCTGCCACAACGTTTTCCCTGAGGCCATGTGCTTGACAGAGTCTATCTATCCTCAGGAAGGAGTATACCTGTCTCCAGCAGATGCTAGGTTGAGGGGAAGTGCTGTCCAATCCATTGGGCAATGGCAGGGGCTGAAGACCCTTTATGTTTAACCTAAGACTTACTCTAGGTTCCAGCCACTTTTAGTCACTGGAAAAAAAAACTCAGTCATCCTTAAGCATAGCTCTTCATTCAGAGCTTCCCCATGAGGAAAGGAAACCACTGTAGGTATGAGGGTGAGTGACATAAGTTGGACATGTAGTTTGTGACCCACAGGGAGAAGGAAGCCAGGGCTGTGTGAGCTGCAGAACACTGATCCTGGCCTGGTCTTCAGAGAAGCATCAAAGATGGGGCTGAAGGTTCAAAGTCTGACCACCCCACCACCACCATATACTTTGTCTTTCCCCACATCCTGTCCCCTGTTTCTCCACTAGTACCAGGCAATCTCCCCATGAGCATTTCAGGTTGAATAGGTGAGCTGGAGAAGATTGTGTATACTTTGCCTAGTCACATGGGGAGATTTCAGATATTGCAATCTGAGGCAAAACAAAAGCAAATTGCTTGGAGACAATTTCAACAGAAAATTTATTGTTTTAAGGGTAAGCACACAAACAAAACGGAAAAACGGAGCAAATGGTTACACCTACTCCCAGTTTCCATAAAATGTAAAAAAAAAAAAAAAAACACAGAAGAAATAAAAAGAAGAAACATAATGTACTGTACTTTTCAGCATTTGAGGGTTTAATGGGTATGAGACATTTCAAATGGGCTTCTCTAGGACTTAGTCAATAGTGGACATAATTCTCACACACTTCTTCACAGCACATAAAAGGTACTCAGTACATCGTGACTGACTTGATTCAAAATCAAAAGACACAAGACTTTGATGTACTTTTTAACAAACTATTATAAATAAAACATGGTTTTGAGGATAAACAAATGCCCTGATTTGCCCCACATGTTTGAAAGCATAACAAATATGTCCAGACCTAATCCCAGGGTGAGATAGCTCATGCCATCACCAATGCCAGGATCAGGGCTGGGACTCAGGAGGGAGGCAGGCAGGTGAAACTTCTTCCATTCCGGGAGTAAAAACACCAAATGTCTCCTTGTCACCAAGGCATAAGAAAGTGTCTCTCAGCCAGCATATTCCCAGTTAAGGATTACTATTCCCTTTATGAAGGAACTCGTGGTGCAGTGCCTAAAGCATTTGGCTGATGACAAGAAGGTTGATGGTTCAAACCCACCAATCACTCCGTGGTTGGAAGATGGGGCAATCCACTTCTATAAAGATTTACCACGTTGGAAACCCAATGAGAGTCAGAATCATTTGATGGCAGTGGTTTTTATTTTATATTTGTTATTACTATTCCCTTTATAAGGTCATCATGAGTCAGAATAAAGCAATGAGTTTTATCTGCTTTATAAAACCAATTGCTGTTGAGTCGATCTCAATTCATGGTGACCTCATGTGTTTCAGAGAAGAACTGTGCTCCATAGGGTTTTCAAGGGCAGTGATTTTTCAGAAATAGATTCTCAGGCCTTTCTTCAGGGAACCTCTGGATGGAGTCAAACCTCCAACCTTTTGGTCAGCAGCCAAACATTTGGCTTAACCTTTTGGTTAGCTGTTAACCACTTGCACCACCCAGGGACTCCACTATTCCCTTTAGTTCCATTTACTTTGACTTCACCTAACAAATAAAATAAAAGTTGGCCAGTGAGAATCACAATTCAATAGGTTTTTTGCATTCATGGAATGAGGAGTATGTCCCAAGACCTTCATAATCCCTAAATTCACAAGACCACTGTAACATAAATGAAAAATTTAAGTCATGCTTTTATATCCTAAATGTTCAGCCATGATTAGTAAAGGCATCTGAGAATAGGGTGATGAGAGAGGCTCTCCTGCTTGTTAAGAGATATGCTCCTCGCCCAAAAATCTGCCTCACAGAATGCTTTTCACTATTTTAGCAATATTTCAAATTACCATATGACATGGGACTTCCATTCTCCTGTGAAACCACAAATGCTATGGCCTCAAATATGAAGATCTACTGGCAATCCCCCTAAGACAACCCCACTTTCCCTGGAGTCGACTTGAGCACATCTCTGAAACAATCCTGGGATAAACAGGGATTCCCAAGAGGTTTGAGTCAAGTCTTCCTGGATGTCTGAAACATCCCTGAAGCAAGAGATTATGGCTACAGAAAATTCTGGAAACTTTTGTAACTGCTAAGGGAGCTCTGGTAGCATAGTAGCTAAGGCACTTGACTGCTAACCAGAAGGCTGGCAGTTCAAACCCACCAGCCACTCCTCTGAAGGAAGCAATCTACTTCCGTAGTGATACTGCCTCGGAAACCCAAGGAGGGGTCGCTATGAGTCGGGTCTGACTCGACGGCACGTAACAACAACAAAGCCCTAGAGCTTCTCAACATTTTGATCCCCGTCAGATAGCCAATGCTTTGTTTATTTACATGAAAGTCTTCTGTTTAGTTTAAATACTTACATCATTTTCTAAAAAATTAAACATGCTTCTTTCAGCCAACTCCTTTGACTCTTCAAATTTTTCTACCGCTTGTCTGACTTCTTCATCTGGTATCTTACCTACTCGCTTCTTTTTATAATCGTAATCCAGGCGGCGGCCTTCCAGCTTTTTCAGGTGGTGCTAAAAGGGAAAGAGAAGCCCCTCAGACAACTGTTATACTCAAAATGTGACACAAAGAAATGATTGTTATTTCTAAGAAAATAGTCATTGTTCTTTCTTGGCCTAAATCCTACAGGGCAGGAATCCATTTCTCACTTTGTCCGTATGTGCCTCAGCTCCTGGTGTAAGCTCGCCTTACTGTAGGTACTCAAGAATTTGCAGTGAATGAACAAATTAATGGATGGATGGATGGGTGGGTAGGTGGCTGGATGGCTGGATGGGTGGGTGTGGGGAAGGATGGATGGATGGATGGGTGGCTGGATGGATGACTGACTGAATGGATGATTGTCCATATGGAACATAAGGATGCAGTATCAGCACTCAGATTGTATTTTCCAAAGTTCTTTGTTGGATCTCTCATTTCAGCTCTGTTAATGTCAAGATAATTTCTAACCAAATCATTTTTAACAAAAATAGGTACATTTGTCTTGTGCACTATTGTCAATTGAGGTGAATACAGGGTAGTTGAGACTATGAACCAAACTCACTGCCATTAAGTCATTTTCTGACTCACAGCAACCCTATAGGACAGAGTAGAACTGTCACAGAAGGTTTCCAAAGCTATAAATCTTGATAGAAACAGACTGCTTCATCTTTTTCCTGCAGAATAGCTGGTGGGTTTGAACTGCCAACATTTTGATTAGCAGCGCAGTGCTTTAACCACAGCATCACCAGAGCTCCTTGAGACTATGAAAGGCTGCCTGAATCTTAGACTCTTGACTGTTAATCATTTACATGATTTAAGTTTTGATTCATCAGGTTCCTGTATCAAACACCAGGAGTCTATGGATGATGCAAACAGTTAACATGTGTGGCTGCTAACTGAAAGGTTGGAGATTCAAGTCTACTCAGAACCACCTTGAAAAAAAGGCCTGGCAAACTACTTCCAAAGAATTAGCCATTCAAACAAACAAACAAAAAAATCAGCCATTGAAAACTCTACAGAGCACAGGTCAACTCTGACACACATGGGGTCACCATGCATCAGAGTCAACTTGATGACAAGTGTGTATACATAGAGAGAGGGACAGAAAGAGAAAGAGAGAGACAGAGAAGAGAAAGAGAGATAGTAAGCCCCAGTGGCATAGTGGTTAAGCACATGGCTGCTAACTGGAAGGTTAGTAGTTCAAATCCACCAACAGCTCCACAGAAGGAAAGACCTGGAGATCTACTCCCTAAAAGATTAGAGCTTAGGAAACCCTAGAGGATAGTTCTACTCTGTTATGTAGGTTTGCTATGAGTCAGAATCAAATTGATGGCACACAACAGCATATATATGTTTTTCATATCATATAGGAACTTAATACATACATATATATATATATATATATATATTAGCTGAATACCAAGAGATGCCATTTAGAAAATTATTTTGCTGCATAAGAAGATACAACATTTAAAAATAAATGTATTCCACACATTTCTCTGACTCACTGCTCAGAATGTACATACATATCCATGGCCATCCACCATACTTACCCAAGCCCAGTGGAACAGCAATAGTAGCAAGCACCCTTTGGTATGGCCTTCCTCAAGGAAAACAGCAAAAGAAGAAATGACATGTGTATTTCACCAAAGGAGGTGTTTGTGTTTAAGGCTCCACATTTGGGCAAGATGCTTTGGCATCCCCACAGCCCAGAATGTCATGTCCACTCTGGAATCATTCATTCACTAATAATGTATGGGCACAAACCATGTGCCACACACTGTGGCTACAAAAGTGAACAAAGCATGGCTCCTCACCCCAAGGAACTTATTGCCCAAGAAAGAAAAGACAGTCTGATAAGAGTTGTGATGCTCTTAGCACAGGGTGCTCCTGGGGCTCACTGGAAGAAGCACCTAGTTAAGTCTAGGGAGAGACCAGAGAACTCCCCCAGGAAAAGAACCTCTGAGCTGAGATCTGAGATGTGGGCTGACTTAGCCAGGAGAAGGGACAAAAGGAGAGGAACAATAATACAGAGACAGCAAAAAAAAAAAAAAAAAAGTAGTATGTCTCCTGGGAATGGCATGTAATTCAGTACAGCTGGGTAGAGTTCAAGTGCAGGGAGGATAAGCACTAAGGCTGTAGGGAGAATGAACCAGTTCCAGTTCCTGTCCAGTGGTCCCTGATTCATAGTGAGCCCAGAGTCAGAGTACTACTGTGCTCCACAAGGCTTTCTTAGCTATAATCTTCACAGAAGCAGATCACATCTGTCTTCCATGTAGCCAGTGAGTGAGTGGGTTTCACCCAGTCAAGTGCTTAACTGTTTATCCACCAGGGCTTCTTGCTGTCTTCAATAAAATACAGAATTTTAAAGCTAAAAGGGATCTGACTCACATTCTGCCACGTCCCCATGTCCTCGGCAGATAGGGCTAATTGATTCCAGTACTTTCCCCCCATTGAGCCCACATAAATATAACTGAGTTATTTTTTTCACCACCTACAAAAAGATGATGCTTTCATCAAGTTCCTACATGCTTATTTTAATGGTGTTAAATATAAATACTTTACATTGTGAGAGATATATTTATAGCCTGGAAGACTTACCCCAATCTCTTTTAAATCTTTGTCTTGTAATAACTGAAGTGGATCAATAAAAGTTTGCTTTACATTAATATCAAGGGAGTCTTTCACCTCAGCCATTAGTTTCATGGATTCACCAACTTCTATCAGTGCACTGCCTGGAATAGAAAATAAAAACAAAAACAGTACTTCTGGAGAACATGCTAGGAAAGCAATGATACTTAGTTATTTCTTTCTCCAAAATTTGTACATGATTCGTGTAAGAAGGTCTTCACTCCTGGGATTTGAATCTTTGGCCCTGAAAAAAAACAGAAAAAGAAAAAGAGAGGAAGAAAATCTCCCTGCTTTCCACAAGTTGCTCTCCAGGACCTTCCACACTTTCAACACCTTGTAAAACAAAACATTCCAAGGCAGACAGACCGGGACATTTATCACTTTGGCCACTAGATGGGGTAAAAGCTACTTAAAAACAAAACAAAAAAAAAAAAACAACAAGAAAAAGTGCTTTTGCGAACTCTTGGCACCAAGGGTTCTTTAGAAGCTCAAGAATAAAATCTTTCTTCATAAACAAAGAAAGGATTCATTTACCAGAGGCTAAGTATTAAGTAACAATGATTACAACAGAAATAAGCAAACATACCCTCATTGCAGTTTGTAGCTCTCATTTCTTGAGGTCACTCCCAGTATCAAAAGACTTGCTCCAAGCCTTCCCACCTTCTCTGAGGTCAAAGAACAAGAAAGCCTGGGGGTGTCACATGGAACATCCTTCCAGCAGAATGGACAGAGTCTGCTAGTGCAATGAGGCCCAGGCCAGCAATAACAGGCAGCTTTTGCCAGATCGTTGTGTCATTAGCTGCTATTTATGACAATGCCATGCACAATAGGATGGGACCATTGTGATCCATGGGACTTTCATTGGCTGATTCTTCAGAAGAAGTCTTAGTCTAGAGGCTCCCCTTAAGCCCCTAGGTTTTATCACAGCAACACCTGACAAGCATCCACTAACAGATTGCAATTGAGGTGCATTGGCCAGGAATTACGCTCTTGTGCTAACCAAAAGACTGGCAATTTAAGTCCACTCACAGGGGCCTTAGGAGCTCTGGTAGGTAGGTAGTGCCTAAGGCACTTGACTGCTAACCAGGAGGCTGGCGATTCAAACCCGCCAGCCACTCCTCGGAAGGAAGATGGGGCAATCTACTTCCATAATGATACCACCTCAGAAACCCAGGGAGGGGTTGCTATGAGTTGGATCCAACTCAACGGCCCAAAACAACAACAACAACATAGGCACCTTGAAAAGAGATAGCCATTGGAAACCCGATAGCATACAGTTCCCCTCTGACACACATGAAGTCACCATGAGTTGGAATCAACTTAAGGGCTTGTATTTTTGATTTATCTCAGCCACAGCTAATATGTAGTAATTTGCAAGCATAATGAGGATAACATATTTTTCTACAAGGTATCCTTGGGAAATGCTGCCCTTCACTGAATTATTTTTCCTTTATTTCAGGTTTTCAAACCGATCTTGTGCAAAGGTAGAGGGAGCTTGGAATCTCTCAGCTCCCAGACTTTAAAGGCTTTAAGTCTGATCTTCAAGTTATTTCACCTACTAGGTGAGCATCTCAAAAAAAAAAAAAAAAAAAAACCACTTACTGCCATCAAGTCGATTCCGACTCATAGCAACAACCCTCACTGGCTTTCCAAGGCTATAAATCTTTACAGAAGCAAATTGCCTCATCTTTCTTCCACAGAGTGGCTGGTGGGTTTCAAACACCAATTTTTTGGTTAGTAGCCAAATGCCTTAACCACTACACCATCAGAGATCCTTACCAGGTAAGGATACAGAAAGTTTATTCACCTATAAAATATTTATTCACCTATAACAACATTTGCTTCACCTCGCTTTTTTTCCCCCAATATTTGCCTTACCTCATGCATTTTTTGGTTTTTGTTTTTAAGAAATAAACTTAATTGTATTTTATAGGCCCTCACAAAACGTAAATGAAACTGTTACTCTAAACTAAAGCTGTGTGAGACTCCACGTTGGCCTCCTGGTAGCTTCATTAGAAGCCCTGGTGGCACAGTGGCTGCTAATCAAAAGGTCAGCAGTTCAAAACCACCAGCCACTCCGTGGGAGAAAGATGAAGCAATTTGCTTCTGTAAAGATTTACAGCTTTGGAAACCCTATGGAGCAGTTCTCCTCTATACTATAGGGTCACTATGAGTTGGAATGGACTCAACTGCATTGAGTTTGGTTGGGCCGCTTTGTTTTTTGTGGGAAACTATGTTTCTTTAACTTAAGTCTCTGGAGTCTGTCCTAAATCTTGCCATTTCCTAGCCTGGGGGCTCCTTCCTGCACAACTTGGCAGAAACAGATAGTATTGCGTCTGTCTCTAACCTCACTCTGCCTACGCCGTCCATGCCTTGACCTGTTAGTTTACTTTGACAGAAACCTTTTCTCCTTTGTGACTCCACACATTACTTTTTGAGCATTGGTTGTCACCTTCCTGGAATGGGCATTCCCTCTCCTTGCTCAAAAATGTTGTTGTCATTGTTAGCTGCCATTGGGTTGGTCCTCAACTCACAGTGACCCCGTGCACAACAGAACAAAACTCTTCCTAGCTCTGTGCCATCCACATGATTGGTTGTGGATTAGACTGTTGTGATCCACAGGGATTTCCTTGCTTGATTTTCAGGAGTAGATTGCTGGGTCTTTCTTTCTAGTCTTAGCCTGGAAGCTCCACTGAAGCCCGTTCAGCATCACAGCAAAGCGCAACCTCCACTGACAGGCGGTGGCTGTGCATGAGCTGTGTTGGTCAAGAACACCGCTGTCAAATTCTACAATGGTGTAGCACTCAACCTCCACACATTGAGGTTTGTGCACTTTAGGAAGACTCCCTGATATAACCCCAAGAAGAAACATCCAACAGTACAGCTTCTTCCTCAGAACAACAAACATTTGGTCTGCTTCTGCCCTCCTGACATCAGCTCTTCTCCTTAACCCACATTCCCTTAAGTTGCTGAGCTCCAGTGAAGTTATCAAATTGTCTGGCCATCAAAGCCCCCACCCCAGTCACTGTGGCCAGGTGTGTCCTCAGATTTTGGATTGTGCCTGACAGTCTCATATTGCTCTCTCAACTGATTTTCTCTCAGGGTAAGAAATAGGCCATCAAGGACTAATTCACCCATGGAATAAAATAAGATCCATGTTATACTGATCTGAAAGACATTATTACCCCCTATCACTTATTAATGTTTTAATATTTGGGACTTAAAAAACTTTTCAGAAGACTTTTTCCAATTTCCTAGATAAATTTCAATAGCCTAATATTTGACTTCTCAATTTCCATATCTGTCTTGTTAAAAAAAGAAAAGAACACAGTTGCCATCCTGTCTTGTTACCACAACAAAAATAGCTAATGTGTCAAATTCTTCTGGAAGACTTAATACACTGAAGTCAAGTCTTCCCCAATTAAATTTATAAATTTAAAGCAATATCAATCAAAAGTTAGTGAGGTTTTTTTTTAAAGGAGAATTTATAATGACTAATATTTTTCCATCTAGAAAAATAGATAAGTATTTCCATGAAATTTTTGCAATAAAATAACTATGGGATATTTTAGTAAAATATATTAGAATATACTTTAAAACTATAATGCTTAAAATTATATGAACTGGAGCAAAACAGATAAACATATCAAGAAAACATCAGAGAAAGACCAGAAACAATATAAAAATTATATTAAAAATATAAAAATTTAATATATAATAAATGGGTGATCTCCAATCAGGAGAAAGTTTGGACTTTATAATAAAGTGGTAGGACAACTGGTTAATTATTTGTTATAGAATAAAATTACAACCCTATTGCATAGAATATGTCCAATGAATTCAGGAGCTCAAAAATTTGAAGGTAAGAAAAGGAAATATAATGTATCCAAAAAATGTATAAATTAACATTTATATCATTTGTGTGAGTATGGGTATAAGGTGAGATGGAAAAAGTCTTTCTCAATGTAATGTCAAAGCCAGAAACTATAAAAGAAAATAATGAGCTCCACTATATAAAAAGCAAAAATATTTCTCATTAAAATTCCATATTCAAGTTCAGAAGGTAAATGCCTACTCGTGACAAAACATTCTCTACCTGTAAGACAGACAAAAAGCAAATACCCTCACCATTTAAAAAGTTCATAAATCAGTAAGGAAAAATTAACACCCTAGTGGGAAAATAGGCAGAAACAAAAGTATAATTCACAAAAATGACAAAAAACATGAAAAAAATTCAACCCCATACATAGTAAAACAAACAAACAAACAAACAAAAGGGCAGTTAAAATAGCATTGAGATATCATTTTTATATATTATGTATTAAATTTATCACTGATTTAAATGTAAACTAAAATGACAATTTCCAGGGTTAGTAGTCATGTAGGATATATTCGTTCACTCCTGTCAGGAATATCAAATTGGTACAACCTTTCCAGAGGGTGATTTGGGAATAAGTTTCAAAAACCTGAAAAACAGGCATACTCTTGGCCCAGAAATTTTACTTCTAGGAATTTCATCTAAGAACATAATCTTAGCCATCCCCAATGACTTAGTTACAAAGAGGGTCCCTAGAAATGCTACATAACTTTTTTTGCATAAAGAAAAAAACTAAATATTTGATTACTGAAGTTGGTTGAATAGACATGAAATATTATATAGCCTTGAAAAACAATATTTTAGAAGATCACTTTATGACATGGATCATGACATAATGGGGAAAAAACACAGGTTACAAAAGACTATGCATCCTATTGTTGTTGTTAGTTGCCGAGGAGTCGATTACAATACGTGGTGAACCCATGTGTTCAGCAAAGCAAAATTGCTCCTTAAGGTTTTCAAGGCCTATCACCTTTCAGAAGCAGATGGCCAGGCCTGTCTTCTGAGTGCCTCTTGGTGGGTTCGAACCACCAACATTTTGGCTAGTAGTTAAGTGAGTAACCATTTGTACCCCCCAGGAAAGGCACATGCAATAGTTTCATTATGTGTGGAGATGCCATGAGCTACATCACTGGGTTATGGAATCATGAGTGATGTTAACATTTCCCTTGATTCTACTTGCTTGTTTTCTAAATTTTCTGCAGTGAATATGCACACATTACTTTGGTCATATGAAAATAGTAAAGGTTGTCAGAATGATGGTTTTGTGCATAACTGAAAACCAACAAGGGAGGTATTCTCAGGTGATGTGTGAGTGCTCACCAAATGTGGACTGTTCCCCAAGTTCCTTCCCATATTTCAGCATACAATCGCCCAGCAAGCCTTCCGTCTGTGGGTACCCGGTGGTTTTCACCTGTCCTCGGATCTTCGACATAGTGTTGAGCATTCCCAGCTTAGCTCTGTATGCTTAAAAACATTGTCATTTGTAATTCCTTCAAGTTACAAGGTGGAGTGACAGCATTTAACAAACACAACTACTGAAATCGAGGTCACCTTAGACTAACTGCCAGATATGCAGCCCAAAAAGATTGTGTGCATATTATTTTCTCATGATTTTCTAGATTTACCCAGGTTAGTGTTAAGTGCACCACTGCACAGTGATAATGGAAAACAGGAATTACAGCACACATTGTTGACTCTAAATAGTAGTAACTGGGGATGCTACCAAGTACCAGCCACAGAATGAGACACCGAGGAATGCTTGAAGCTACTAACACATTAAACAAGACACTGACTCCTGTGCTGATGGTTTTTCCCAGGAACTGATTGTAAACTGAGAATAGTATCATTGTAAGAGCCCTGATGTCCCAGTATATTTCAAACCCACCAGCTGCTCTGCAGGAGAAAGAATGTAGTAATCTGCTTCCATAAAGATTTCAGCCTTGGTTACCTTATGGGGCAATTTTCCTACAGGGTTGTTATGAGTTGCAATCAACTTGGATGGCAACAGATTAGCAAAGACTCAGTCAGACACTTGCATGCCAATGTTCACTGCATTATTATTCACAATAGCTAAAAGGTAGGAACAACCCAAGTGTCCATGAACAGATGGATAAATAAGCAAAATGTGGTCTATCCATACAATGGAATATTATTCATTTGTAAAAAGAAATGAAGTCCTAATACAAGCTACAACATGAAATAACCTTGAAAACATTATGCTGAGACTTCTGGGAAGATGGAGGAATAGGCAGACAAGCAACACAGACCCTCTTTAACAAAGAAAAGAAAAACCAATTGACAGAGATACAGAAGATAATCCTGGAGTCCTGAGCTTTGAAAGGAACTATACAGAAGTGGATTAGGCACCAACTAGTGGAAAAACCTGAACAAAAACAGTAGTACAGAGACAGTCAGAGCTGCAGACAGTCAGCTACTCTGATGGGACCAACAGCCTGAATATTTCA